TAGATAGATAGATAGATAGAAAGATAGATAGATAGATAGATAGATAGATAGAAAGATAGATAGATAGATAGTGATTTAAAACTATTGGCAGTTACATTAACTCTTGTACATCAGTACTGAAATAGGCACGCACAGATAGCAAAAGAAAAAGTATCAGAGTTGGATGGGGTGCAGGAGCAGAGTCAAAGAGTGTTTTACGTTCCTTGTCTAAAACTAGTAAAAGCCACCTTTATGGAAAATCGGTTGCTTCCGCAACAAAAACAAAAAAAACCCCAAACATCTGTGCGTGTTGGTAGGCGTGCATCATCGCGCATTTTCTTTGAACGGAACTGAGCACAGATCTTGCAGCAATATTCAGGAAGCGCGGAGATGAGTGAGCAAAAGTTTGACGCGGAAAAATATCAGTATTCCAGCGAAATGAGACAGTGTATTGAAATCTGTGCCGTAGATGGTACTGGTATGTTTTAATTCTTTCGTGAGGAATCCCCATGAAATATCTTTTTTGGCAGGGCGTTTGTAGCGACGTATCATCTTCAAAAGCTGATAGATCTAGATCGAGATTTCCCCTCCTATCTCTAGTTGTGCGAAAATTGCGATGAGCCTGGAGCCCTTCCCCTCTCGGCTGTGACTGTGAATAGACTGGAATATAACGAACATAGATCTAGAAAGTTGACAATGTTGTCGTTCTTCGCGTAAACTCTAGAAGATATTACAGCAGCTTTTCTCACAAATCATCAACCATCAACCTTCCTCACTCTGTGGTGAAGTATAGTCCATCAACGTGAACTCTCCATGGACTTCTGCCTTGGTGCATGTATATATGCCTGACTGTATATTGGCGTTCTTTATGTAAATCTTGGACAACATAGGCACCATTCACGTATTAACGTCAGGAGTTTTATTGTTTCTCTCGTAAAACCTTATCAGCGTCGTCGCCACTATTCGAGTAAATAAATGCCCAACTGTATGGTCGTTCTACTCGTATCGGTCCTGTATCGCCATGGAAGAAGACGACACGGAAACTCCAACCACCACAACATCCTCCCAAATTAGGAAACTGTTCAGCGTCAAGCGGGTAAGCTTCACAGTGCTTGGCCTGCTTCTCTTCTGGTTATTCATGCGGGTCGGGGCTACTATGTTCGGCCACTCGTTCTGTATCACGCCGTTATTCCAAGCCAGGCACGTGGTGATTCAGCCACAGCCGGAATCACACCAGCATATTAACGAGAAAAGAAGTGACAATGGCGATAATGATGGAGGTGGGGAAGACGATGGTGGGGAAGACAATGGTGGTGATGGTGATAGTGTTGGACGCAAACGTTTGAAAAAGAACGGCTTCCAGCCAGTATCGAATAAAGAATCAAGCTTTGGAGAGGAGCTTTACGGTGAGCCAGATTCAGACGGCGTGAACGCTCAAGGAAGAAATAAGTATCGGTCAGTCGGGAAAAGAAGCGGTACTGACGATGGTGATGGTGACGATAATGATGATGGTGATGGCGGTAGACAAAGGCGTTCGAAAAAGAACGGGTTCCAGCCATTGTCGGTTAAAGAGGGGAGCTTTGATGACGATCTTTATGGCGGGTCAGATTCAGACCGCGCAAAAGCTCAGGGCAGAAATATACAACGGCCGTTTCGGAAAAGAAGTGATAATGGCAATTATGTTGACGATGTAAACGGTGATGATGATGATGATGAAGATGGTGATGGTAAACGCAGGCATTCGAAACGGGGCGGCTACCGACCAGAGTCGGATAAAGAGGCCAACTTAGAGGACGAGGTTTACGGGGGGTCAGATTCAGACCGCGCGAACGCTCAGGGAAGAAATAAGCAAAGGTCGGACGGGAAAAGAAGTAACAATGACGTTGTTGATGATGAAGGCGATGATGATGATAATGGTGGTGGACGCAAACGTTCGAAACGGAGAGGTTTCAATCCAGTGTTGGAAAAACAGAACAGCCTTGGCGACAACCTTTACCGCGAGTCAGATTCAGACCGACCAAACGTTCAGGGAAGAAATAAACAACGGTCGGTCGGGAAAAGAAATGATAATGATGCTGGTGATGATGAAGGCGATGATGATGGTGATGATGGTGGAGGTAGAAGAAGCAGTTCAAGAAGGAGCAGCTTCCAGCCAGTTTCGGATACAGAAGGGAGCTTTGAGGGCGAGGTTTACGATGAGTCAGATTCATACTGCACGAATGCTCAGAAGAGAAATAAACAAAGGCCGGTTGGCCGGCAAGGTCGAAAAAATTGCGGGAAAAGACACATGTTTGAGGAAAATGAGAAGGAAGAAGAGGAGGAGGAGGAGGCGGAGGAGGAGAAATTTCATTTGTCCGAAGAGGGGAGTCGTGGGGGTTGCGGGGAAGGAACTGAAGACGAGGGAGAGGATGATGAATATGAACAAAAAATACGGAAAAGAACAGGTAGTAGAGCTAAAAGCAAAAAGGTAAAACAAGTTGGAAAAGATAAAAGCGAAAATAAGAAACCTTCCAAAAAAGGAGATCAAGAAGAAAGGCAAGTGGTCGACGAGGTCGTAACAGAAAGTAAAAAGCACCCAAGAAAGGTAAAGGTCAGCGGGAAAAGGGAAGTCCAAGAGGATGAATACGAAAACAATCAACAAGGGAAAAAAGAAAGCTTTAAAGATAGAGAAGTGGAAGGGTTTGAATGTTTAAGTGCTTTGTGTGGTTGCGTGAATTACTTGGAGGGTGACTCGAAGAAGGACGGGGGAGAAGAAGACGTGAAGAAGATGGGCAGAAAGGGTGACAGAAAAAAGGAGACACTCTCGCGGCAGGGAGGATGGGACGAGGAAGAGGGGGAGGAGAGTGAGCCTGATTGGGGTGATGACAAAGGGCGTGTAAGAAAGTCAGACAGTGTGGACGGGGAGAGGGGAGCAAAGAAGCGGGGTAGTGGCGTGGGTAGCCACAGCTTTGAGGATGATGATGAAAGTGAAGGGCGAGAGAGATGGGACGAGGCAGAGGAACAAGGCGAAAGGAAGGAGAATGGGAGGCAAGCAAAAGGGGCAGATGATAAACGAAGGAGAGTAGTTGAAAAGAAAAGGCGGTCAAGAGGGGCTCAAGGGAAAAGTCGGGAGGGAGAACAAGCAGATGAGAGGCGAGGGGGAAGGAAAAAGAACGGGAGGCAAAGAAAACGAGGTAGGGGAGAGAAGCGAAACAAAAGAGAGGAGGAAGAACCGATAAATGGTATGGGCAATAATGATAAGGATGACGATGACGATGATGATGGCGATGATAATGATAGTAACAGTGACGACGATAGAAATGATGAAGATGATGGTGATGATGACTCTAGAGGCAGAGAGAGTCTGAGAGGAAATAACCCAGCGCCCGAAAGCTCGAATGACAATGACGATGACGATGTGGCCGCAGAACCAGGGGATGATGGAGGTGAAGGAGGGGGAGATGGGAAAGAGAAAGGCGAAGGTCTCGGCAAAGCTACAGGAGGGAGATCGTGCAAAGACTGCATGGACAGGAGCGAGAAATGCCGCTCTTTTCTTGCTTTCTTCTACAAGAGTTGTGTCTTCCCCGAATCTTAGAGTTTAGACTTTGACAGACACATGTGTGCTCTTTACACATGTGTCGGCATCGAGGGAACTTGGCTTATCATCTTCAGAAAAAAACGATGTTGTTGTCTCCTTGTGTATTGGTGTGGTTGTCACCTTGCATATTGGTGTGCTGTTCTGCTGCCTCGTCGGTTTCTGTTCCAGTTCGCCATAATACGCACTGTTATAGCCTATTTCTGTCGGAGATGAACAATATTTTGAGAGGTTCTGCATTTTAAATAACCATACAATGCTGATCGGGACGTTTAAACTACACTACAATGACTGCTATACCAAGCTATGCATGCAGTAAATCTTACTGTGTGTCCGAGTGCGGAGTTGCCGTCATGTGTATTTGTGTTGCCATATTCTGTATAGATTTTAAAGTAAGTGCACAGTGCCACTGTCTTCTCTGGCAGTGTACTAGTTCAACCCTGCTTATGGAATGGTGTAGTCGCTTTGTATTCAAGTGCAGCCATTTTGAGTTCGAGTGTAGCCATTTTGAGTTTAAATGCAGCCTACTCGTGTATTGCAGCCATTGTATGCACGACTGGTCTGCCTCACTCTTTTGGTTTTCCGTGCACTGGTGTAGCTATTTTGTCAATAGTGTAGCCACTCTGTGTACTGGTGTACTCAGTTTATTTATTAGAAAAGTCATTTTGCGTACAAGTGCAGTCATCTTATATTCTAAAATAGCCAACGTATTTATTCGTGTTGCCGTGAAGTATACCAGTCTAACCACCTTATGTACTAATGTAGCTAATATGTGTACTTAAGGCGCTGTTTTGTTTACTAGTGTAGCCAATTTGCTTATTAGTGCCGCCGTTTATTGTTCCAGTGTAGTCACTTTGTCGTGTGTACTAGTGTAGTCAGGGTTGGTGATTTATATTTTTTTAATTTTAAAACATTTTAATCGATTTTTAAACATTTAAATCATATTTTTAAAATTTAGATTGGATTTTTTTTGGGGGGGATAAAAAAAAAAATGTCGACACAGTTTGGAATTTTTAGTGGCTAAAAGTATGTTCTTTAATACAAAATGCATTGTCTTTATTTATTTTAACTAATGATTAATTTAAGCAACTTCAAAAGAAAGCCTTAATCTGCTATATCAGTGAATTATTCATGACTAATAACAACAACAAAAAAATGAAGAAAATGTCAGTCTAAAATGAAGGGGGGCAATTATGCATAGATAAACTTGCATTTTATTGCAATGTGTGTGCGCGTGTGTGTGTGTGTGTGTGTGTGTGTGTGCGTTTGCGTGTGTGTAGGCGCTTGTGTTTGTCTAAAAAAAAATTAATGCTAATTTCAATTACGAAAAAGAAGTACATTAAATACTGTATTGTTGTGTTTCTTTTCAAAACCTTCAATCCCAAACAACTCAATGGATACTTTCAACAAGATCTAAATTGTTGGTTGTTGTAAAACTGTTAATATTGTATGAAAGTGATTTACTTTCAAAATTCCTTCAGTTGCTCTTTTGTTCCTTGCAATAATATCTGAATTATCATTATTTTTACCTTGTTTGTGATTTATTTGTTGATGTTTTTATTCTCCTCAGTCACTATTGATTTGATCTGACATTCCATAAATTATTAAGTTTACAGTTAATAGATCTAGACATTTCCTTAGGTGTGTGTGTGTGTGTGTGTGTGTGTGTGTGTGTGTGTGTGTGTGTGTTTATGTGTGTGTGTATGTGTGTGTCTGTGTGTGTGTGCACGCGCTTGTGTTTGTCTGGAAAAAAATGCTAATTTCACCTATTAAAAAAAGTAAATTAAATGCTGTATTATTTTACAGTGACAGGGGGGAAAAGCAGACTTTTAAGCATGATTATATTAGTCTACTAAACCTTATATTTGTTTTATAAAACCAAGGAAAGGCATTTTGAATTTTAAATATGTAAAAACTGAATAAAAATTTATTTGTTAAAGTGATTTAAATCAAAGATTTTTATTTAAAGAATCAAGTTGATTTAATTTTTAAAAAATCAACTGATTTAAACCGACCTGATTTAAATCAACCTTACCCTGAATATAGTCAGTTTATGCATGAATATGCAGCGTCACAGCCTCATAATAATTTATCAGTTTACGAGTGTAGCCATCCTGTGTTCTAATGTCGCTGTTTTGGGTACTTGTGCAGTCATCTTGCGTTCTGGTGCACTCACCTCATGCAGTAGTGAGGTCATCTTGCGAGTAGCCATCTTATGTGCTGATGCAGCCAACGTGTCTACTGCAGTTACCCTCATGCATAATATTTTACTGTTTAGTGTACCAGTGTAGCCATCTTAGGTACCAGTGTAGTCATCTGGTCTTGTTTACAAGTGTAGCCATCTTTACATGAATGTCCAGCGTCAGTGTCTGCTTATCAGTGTGTTGGTGTAGCCAGTTTGTGTTCTGGCGTATTCACATTGAGCTCGTCTGCAGCCATCTTGTGCTCAGTATTCGTTCTGATGTAGCCATCTTGCGAATTAGTTTTATCATTTCGTGTATAGTATATGTGTCTTCATCTTGATCATGGGTATCAATCTTGCGCCCCTGCGGATCAATCAAGGCGCGTAGAACGATAATTTTGCAGCCCCGACTTGATTTTATTATAGTGAATGCCGATATCGCCGTATTGTTTCCTCCATTAGTATACCTTTTTCTCGCACGCACCTTTTTGACGAGGAGTTGCCCTGGATATCTATTTTGTACTTTCCTAAAATCCATAATAGGGTGTCATAGCTCAGGTTCCTGACAACTCCTGGTTATGTTTGTTGCCAAGGTGTAAACGCGATATCAAAGTTATGTTACTAACATAATATACTTTAAACTCTTTTTCTTTTTAATGTGTACCTCTACGGTATAAGTCAAGAGATGTTCCTTCTGACTTTCACCTCTACCTGGTAATTTAAGTTTGAAACATCTGGTCTTTTTTAAAATCAATGTGCAGCTTCGCAGTCTATCTGTTAGTGTACAAGAGTAGACATCTTGTGTGAGTAGAGTCATTTTGGGTCATATGAGCGGGCGGGACGCCAATTCCAATGTCAATGTCACCAGATTATTATTGTGTCCTCCAATATTGCCAGCTTGTATACAAATTAACCGTCTCCATCTTGTGGACACTATTCCTCGTTTTTTTTTGTGTGTAGATGGTTACAAGTCAATTAAACCGATTCCTCTAGTTGTTGTTTTTATCATTTATTGATGATGTGACCCGCTGTGCGGTTGGAATTTCTTGTTTTTCTTGCTTTAATTTTGTTGTTGACAAAAGTCGCAATGTGGTCGTGTGAAGTTTGCTTTCTTTATCAGCTTGTTTCAATTCCTCAGTTTCAGTTCTTTTTATATTATGTTTCTGGAAAACCCAGACTTCATGTTAATGACTTGCTGTGAACTAATGTGACAACCCAACACACAACCCAAGCAATGTGATAATGATAAGATGCGGTGTTTCACAGCTGTTTTGTGGATGGCTGGCGGATCCTGTAGTGTTCTTTGTTCCTTCTTTCTTATCAATGGACATGTACGGAAGGCAGGGATATTGATTCCTGAAACAATGAACAATGGACAATTCTTTCTGAACAAACATCTGTCGTCGTTTTCTCTCCTCATCCTTTTCTTTGTTTGTTACTCTCTAGTACTAGTAAACATTCTGATTTTCGGCACTTGTATAACCTGCCTGTGATGCAAGTGGTGTAAAAACCCTTACTGAAACTAAACCAAAACAACCGTTTTTGTCGGAATTACAGTCCTGCTGAAGAGCGTATTATAAACTACCTCTGTTTGTAACTTTGTGACCTAGGAAATGACAGAACCGACGGTAGCGTAACGAGAGAAAATTGGAATTTAATTGCGGCTGCGATCAAAGGTCCTACCCTCAACCCTTTTCGTTTTAGTCTGTGGAAAAAAATTGGAGGAAAGATTTTGTTACAAGTGACCACTATGAGCAGGTTTGGAAAAATGACTAGAAAATGACTGATGTGGCAGTGTCAGACGTGGGCCGCGATCAACAGGTTTGGAAAATAATGTAGGAAAAACACAAGGGTGTCACGGAAGAATAGCTGTTACTACTGTTAGTACAGGTAACCCCCAAAGGCAGATTGGACTGTTCCATTATCACTCATTAAAATGTGATACAAGGTTGAGCTGTTTTATGCGTCACTCGTGAGATACTTTATTCTTGCGTATGTGTTTTATACTTTTTTTTCTTGTTGGTGATTTTTTGGGCCATCACACAAATATTCGTTGTATTCTGTCCTCACAATTGAGGAAA